AATCAGCAAGAGTGAACAGAAGGTGCCTTCCTGAGCTCAAGCACCTGAAAAGAATGGCCCCTGAATTAAAATGCCTAATTGAAACTAGTTTCCTAAGGAAGGGCCCTCTTATTTTTCTGCTTTTCTTCCAGGGAATTAAGACAAGCTGTTTTTAGAGTAGTAATATTTCCTTGGCTTTCTCTATGGTGACGTTTCAATAAAAGTTCTTCCTGTGGCAAATCATCTTCCCTGGTTCTGATCAGTGTTTGAATTTTAAATATACCTTCCAATGGGGGCTGAATTTTGTCTTTAATTTCTTCTGTTTAAGTCAATAGTCTTCACAAGTTAGGAACACATTTAACATGTAAATTAGTTGGAGTCTTTTTTACATCTCTGTAAAATTTAGTCTTCCTTCCACCCCTCAATAAATACTTACTGAGCGTACACTAAGTGCCAGGTAATGAGGATAAAACAGTTAATAAAATCCAATCCCTGAATTCAAAATGCTCACAGAAGTGGAAATAAGGAATTGAAGAATTGGAGACATCCTAAAAATACAGGAAAGACTATAAATGGTAATATTCGAAAGTAGAATGGAAAAGAAAGAGATGTTAGGCATAAGCAGAGGGTATCTAATTCATAATCTTAATCACTCCACCATGAGGACAGGGATTCACAAGTACTGTACTTAGTTTTTGCCATCTACTACTGCAGAGCAATGTGTCTCTCAAGTCAAACATTACTTTCAGTGAAAAAAATATTTAGCTCTTACCATGAATGAAGCTATTTCTCTAACTGTGGTTCAAGGCTTCATGGGGGCTGCAGAGGGTGCAAACTCAGCAGAAAACCCTCCTTAGGCTTATTTGAAGGTGAGAGAATTGGGCTTCTGCACAGCAACCCCATAACAGAACCAGCCTGCTCTTCTCTGGAACCAGCACTGTACATACACTCTGCAGAACTGGTTCACAGTTGAACTACAATCACCTTCAAGCTGCCTTCATTCCTCTCTTTCCCATGTGCATTTAATAATACCCAGGTAAGCCTAAGGCAAATACTTCCTTCCTGCTTAACTTTCTGATTAACCCATTCTCACATCTCGTGCCCTTACACCAAAATTAGGAGAAGAAAACATCTTTCCAAATAGTTCCTTAATCAAGAGTAGTTAGCTTATGCCCTCCTTGGAAGACAGTTTGGAAGCTTCTTACAAAACTAAACATATTCATACCACACAATCTGAGAATCTCTGGATCCTTTACTCCTTTGCCCAAAGGAGTTGAAAACTCATGTCTGCATAAAAACCTGCACTAGATGTTTGTAGCAGCTTTATTCATAGTTGCCAAACCTTGGAAGCAACTGGAATGTCCTGCAGAAGGTGAATGAATAAATAAGCTGTGTTACATCTAGGCAGTGGAGTATCATTTACAGCTAAAAAGAAATGAGCTATCAAGTCATGAGAAAGCATGAAGGACCCTTAAATGTATATTACCAAGTGACCGAAGCCGATCTGAAAAGGCCAGATATTGTATGATTCCAGCTGTATGACATTCTGAAAAAGGCAAAACTATGGAGACTAAAAAGATCAGTGGTTGTCAGGGGTTGTGTGTTGGGGGAGGAATAAATAGGCAGAGCACAGAGGATTTTTAGGCAGTAAAAATACTCTGTATACTATCAGGGTGAATATGTACCATTATACGTGTGTCCAAACCCATAGAATGTGCAACAACAACAGTGAACCCTAATGAAGACTATGGATTTGGGGTGATTATGATGTGTCAATGTAGGTTCATCAATGTAGTTGTAGGAAATGTACCGCTCTGGTGGGGAATGTTCATAAGGAGGGAGGCTGTGCACGTGTGGGAGAAGGGGGTGTGTAGGAAATCTCTGTATCTTCCTCTCAATTTTGAACTTCAAACTGCTCTAAGAAATTGTCTTTGAATTTTTCAAAAAAAATTTACGTACTTAGACTTATTCAGTAATTGAGATGCCTGACCACCAACTCGTCATAACTGAGGGACCAAACTCTTTTTACTAGAACCAGTTTGAATAAACTCTTTCTACTAGAGCCAGGCCATATTCAGGACTTTTTACGTAACTTCCAGGAAAGAATCAACAGTAATCGATAACCAGCGCTTACTATGTGCTAGGCTCTGTTCTAAGCATCATTTAATCCTTACAACAACCCTATGAGGAAGATACTGTCATCATCCTCATTTTATAGATAAGGAAACTGAGACAGAGAGCAGTTGAGTCCTCTGCCCAAGGTCACACAGCTAACAACGGGAGGTGCTGGAATGCTAATTCAGGCAGTATGTCTCAGAGTCTGTGTGCTTAACCATGACATGATACCACCCTAGTGAGAACCCTATGACTCCACCTTTCTTCTAGCAAGAGAAGGGATAAAGAAACTAAGTGCATGAGATTAGCAACACCATCAGTCTCCTTCCCAAACACACCAGGGAAGCCATTTTGTGGGAGGAATTAACACACAGGAATCTGATTCTCAGAAAAACACTAGGAATCTAGTGACAAAACAAACTTCATTCGTGCTCAAGAAAAAATGGTTTTCTAAACTTGGCTAATAGATATAGACTGTGAATTTTAAATAACAGCATATTTGAAACTAACCAATAAATTTATCGGGGGAAAATTAGCATATGATCATTACAATAAGATAATGTAATGAAAAACTTCATTCTGAAATGAGGAGACATTACCACTGCATAACTTAAAGTTTAGTTCCATTCAATTATTTTGGATACCTACAATATGCATATTATATAATGCCCTAATACCTAGTAGATTCTCAAGACATGGTTAATGATATACTGCTCAATACCAGTTTTTTACCATGAATAAAACCACACTCGGGAAGGAAATACGTAGGTAGAAGTGGCTCAGAGAATTTCTTAAATCTATTCCCAACTTGCAGAAAGGACTAAAGCATATCCAAACTTTTATAGTGGGTATTAGTGTAGGATAAATCTATGATTAAGAGAACTCAAGAGACTTGCCCATATGAGTAAATAGGCAACAACGTTTCGAGAAGGAGTTAAGCATCATACATTCCAGTCTTGCTTTGATATACAATTGCTTTGTGATCTGTGTTGCCACTTTGCTTCAGAGCCGACTCATCTCCAAAACAGTTCTAATCATATATGTATGCTTAACTTATTTCACAGGAGATAAGTTAATTAGTATTTATAAAATATCTAGAGATAAATAGATTATGTTAATAATACTTTGCAGTGTGGTAATATCTCTTAGCAAAGAAACTCAAGCCTTATAAACTATTACACTGACAATATATTCTATTTTTCTTGTTTTATTCATGGGAAACATGGACAAATGATTAAATATTTGGCTGGGTTACAACAAAATCAGTAATAAGTCTCTGAATATGAGCCATATCTCTTAACTTATCATGTACTATTCTAAACATTTTCTTTCTTTTTGACCGGTAAGGGGATTGCAGCCCTCAGCACGGAGTTGTCAGCACCACGCTCAGCCAGTGAGCGCACCAGCCATCCCTATACAGGATCCGAACCTGTGGCCTCAGCGCTACCAGCCCCGCACTCTCTCTAGTGAGCCACGGGGCCAGCCCCGCTGTTCTAAACATTTTGATCAAAAACATCCATGCCTTCCAGGCCATCAAATATCTCCTATCTTCTAGTGACAATAATGTTTTATGTTTTTCAGAGTATTCAATATTCAGAACATTGAAAAATTTCATTCAGAAAAATTACTGTTTCAAAACCAAACCTGCAATCAGTCAACCAATCAATTTGTACTATTATGAGTGACAGAGACCTGATCCTGTCTGACATGTCCACTTTATTATAATAATTTAAATAATTAACATTTACCAATGTCCATGCCCTTCAGACTGTCTTGTAGTCACTCATTATCGGAGCAGCTCAACATTCATCTGAGACCGTTCAATGTTATCTTTTCATTTGCCTAGTAGGGAAATGAAGCACAACAAGACATTATAACTTCCCATGAACATCAGTGCAAGAGAATAAAAAGTTTTCTTCCCTATGACAACTGATTTTCTATCTAGAGTACCATAAGTGTCAGCTTCCTAAGTAGCCGTGAAAACATCTCTCTCCTTCATATATCTTACCCCCCACTGATCAATATGAAGCTCACTTCTCTAAATAATTTATAATGCCTTAAATTCATATATTTACACTATAAGGCAATACACTATTTTTGAGGTAGGGAAGTGAAAAATTTGGAGATTCAGAAGTTAGCTGAATTGATATTCTGCCCCTGGATCAAACCAAGAAATTTCAATATAAATAATTCTCCATCAACACCACATATTTATGAATTTTAATGATATTGATAAGCAAGTTACTACAGGACTTTTATTATCTGTTTTTAATTTTTTAAAAAATCAATTTAAAAACTCCCACTACCAAAAGATCACTAGATATTGAAAGTCTCTCATTTCAATAAGAAAGAAAACACTTGATAAACTGGAAATAATAGAGGGAGTCTATGAGCATTTGCAGGACAAAAGCAGTAGATATTTCTCATTTGAATTATTATTTTTTATATAGGGGCAGAGAACTAGACTGTACTCCAGAGGTCAAAAAGATGTACATTTACTCATATTTAATTTTGACCTTGGAGGCTATGATTTGATACTACTGCACCTGGCACTTTTTTCACATATAAAAAAATATCCTTGGGGCACCTTTCCATCTATAGACTGGACACTATTAAAAATCCCCCAATTATGAAAAACAACAGTTAGGATGCGAGCAATATTTTACTACAGATTGGCATAGTTAAGGCTGAAATAACCCACTGAATCCTATAAAAGGCCAATGCAGACTGGACACTATTAAAAATCCCCCAATTATGAAAAACAACAGTTAGGATGCGAGCAATATTTACTACAGATTGGCATAGTTAAGGCTGAAATAACCCACTGAATCCTATAAAAGGCCAATGGAGCTAAACTCTTTGGCTTTGCTCCTCTCTGGGAAGGGTCACTCGGCTGTGCTGTCGCCATGTCTCTCCAATTTTCTAGTGGATCCAGGAGGATCTGCTCGCGAGCTGGGTCTGTTAGGCTGTCTGGTGGAGGAATAGGCTTTGCAGCTGGGAATATGTGTGTTGGGTCAGGAGCAGGAAGCAGCTTTTCTTGTACTCTTGGGAATGTTTCTTCTGGAGGAAGCTTCTGCAGTGGTGGTGGAGGGTTGGGAAGTGGTGTCTGTGCTGGTTTTCTTGGAAATGAGCATAGCCTCTTCTCTGGGAATGAAAAATTGACCATGCAGAACCTCAACGACCGCCTGGCATCCTACCTGGACCACGTGCGAGCTCTGGAGGAAGCAAACACAGGCCTAGAGCAAAAGATCAAGGGCTGGTATGAGAAATATGGGCCTGGTTCTTGCCGGGGACACAATCACGATGACAGTAGATATTTCTCAGTCATTGAAGATCTTAAAAGGCAGGTAAGAAAAATGAATTTTCATACTTTTACTACAGACTTTGGGTATACATAAAGAAGAGAAAATATAAAACATGCTTAACAAATTTATGTGAATATAGAATTTATTCACTCTGTATTCCCAATGCTAAGCCAGGTGCCTGGCCATAAAAATTTGTAGAATTAGACAATGAAAGAGAAATAGTTGCAAATTAGATATAATCACTCTGTTGTTCTTAGGTTTAGCTCATACCTTTTGATCATGAGTAATAAAAGCATCTATGTGGCTCCAAAGCTCTGGAAATTTGTTATCTGAAGAAAATCCACATTCGTTTAATACAGAAAAAAATGGTACTGACACATATGCTTGACAGGTTAAGAAGATTTAGAATCACACTGAAATCTGGAGGCTCCTTTGACTTTTTGGCACTTAACATTTTGCACACAATCTACCCTATTTAGATTATGTCTGTGACCACCTCCAATGCCAGTGTTGTTCTACAAAATGACAATGCCAGACTGACCGCTGATGACTTCAGGCTGAAGTAGGTGAAAATAATTGATCATATTAATAAAGGTAAAAATATTACAGTTGATTAAAGAACTTGTCTTTTGTTTTTAAAACCAAAATGTTTTTATAAAGCCAGACAAGATCAATGAAGAAACTGAATTAAATATGCCCCTATAAAAAGAGCTATTGTAAATGCTTTTTAATCTAGAAATATTTTTTTTAACCTTTTTTTTTTTTTTTTTTGTCCTTTTTGCGACCGGTAAGGGGAACGTAACCCTTGGCTCAGTGTCGCCCGCACCGCGCTCAGCCAGTGAGCGCACGCGGCCATCCCTGTATAGGATCCAAACCCGCGGCAGGAGCTCCGCTGCGCTCCCAGCACCGCACTCTCCTGAGTAAGCCACAGGGTCGGCCCCAATCTAGAAATATTTTTTAACTGTTAAGCACATTAGATGATAGAAATCAATCCTGAAGAAATAACTCTTCCATAATAATATGCATAAATCAATAGTTATCTCACACTGTTTTAACCGTTTGCCATTGCAAGAAGCGTCAGAAGTGTGTACAGAACATTATAATTTTCAGCACATAAAATGTCTTTAAAAGTTGTGCTGTGGGCCGAGCCCGTGGCGCACTCAGGAGAGTGCGGCGCTGGGAGCGCAGTGGAGCTCCTGCCGCGGGTTCGGATCCTATGTAGGGATGGCCGGTGCGCTCACTGGCTGAGCGCGGTGCAGCCGGTCACAAAAAGGACAAAA